TTGAAAGATCCTTCAAAATGGTGGCAATATGGGGATCTGCTTTGTCAAAAGCTGGCAGTGAATAAGTTCATTCAATGAATTTTACATTCGGTGCGCCCAGTGAAGATTTAACTTAATTATCAACGCTCTTGTTCATGATGTGATGGTGACATGTTTTTTTCTGCCCACAGAGGCAGCAGCTTTTCCCAAAACACAAACATCCAAAATCTACCATGCCAGTCCCCAAAAATGGCTGATACAGCAAAGAATGTGGAAGTGGCAGCAGGGGAAGAAGCTAGGTGCCCCGAAGAGGGGCATGCTGTTATACAGGAGCAAGAAACAGAGCAGGCGGAAGAGGAAGATGACAACGACAACTGCTGTAAAGTAGAGCCGGACAGCGAGGACCTCTCGGTTTCGCAGGAGCAGCGGCACGCCATGGTGATCTCGGAGCTCACCAGCCCATCAGTCAGCGTCATCAGCATCAGTAGTGACGAAGAGGAAGGCGCACAAAGGCACTCAATGGGCGAGTGAGTATACAATGCCAGGTTCCGAGAACAAAAAGGGCTTTGGCTCAGGTGTAAATGTCTTTTTATCTTTGTCAGATGTAAAGGAAGTGCAGATTGCGAGGCATGCCAGAGCACAGTTGACATGGAGAGAGTGTGTTCCCTCAGCAGCCCCGACAGCACGCTCAGCACCAGCTCTTCAGCCTCCGTGCAGTCTAGCACGTCACCCTGCAAACATCCCAACAGGTATGATCAATACAGACTATCGCGATAAAGCCCTGAGCGACAGTGTTTTGCCACAACAAAGTGTCGTCAGTCATGTTTCCCCCCCCCCCTCTCCTCTCGCCTACAGTATGTCTGATGATGAACAGGAAAGTGGGTGTGACACAGTGGACATTTCACCTGCCTCCAACGGCAATAACAACAGTCCCTTTCCCGAGCGGCGGTACATGGTAAACAGCAATCAGAACTGCAAGCCTCGTGTCACTTGCGTTGCCCTGGAAACCGAGGCCAGAAAGCCAGCCCTGCGTACGGCCGCAGTTCCTCCGATGAGGGTACTGAACAACAACACTGGCGTCGGTGAAACACCTGTTAACACAGGTAATGCTGACCGCATATTGTGCACTCACCAATGCGCCAGTAATGACTTTGATGTTCCATTTTCGAACTGACTCATGCAGATCTCTGTGTTAGTGTATCGTTAAGTGAGTAATGACCCCTGGATTCCTTGGCCACGCAGGAGAGCAGCAAGTGCTAGGTCATGGTAGCTCAAAAGTCTAGTCACTACTGCTGCTGTCTGCTCTACAGGTCACATGGCCTGGGATTACGCCATCTTAGTCGGCCACAGAGGTTCTCCCAGGTGATTATGGGTGACCTGACTGATTTATCTGCGCCCATCTACGGAATGGATGTTTATTTTCTGCCAATAGTCTAATTCCAAACTGACTCTGCTAGCCTGTGTATCTGTGTGGAAGTGAGCTTCATAAAGCTACACGTGGCATGTGGGATTTGCTTCGCATTAACTATTCAAAACGTGGATGACTACTAGTCAACACATTTCCTGGATGTCATCAACGCAAAAGTTTGAACATTAAATTCATTCACGCGTAGAAGAGGTTTTCCACACGCCATGAGTAGGGTTTATAACAGTTGTGGCCAGTGGGACGTCAATGTGTCTTGACCCAATGTTTATTTAACACTGCCCTGCCCCACAGCACTATTTTTACATGCTCAAATTGGGGCTAGGTAAGGCTGCAATGTAAATCCTTCACAGAAATCATTCAGTCGTATCACCTTTCATGTCAAAGTCATGTCTCACCTCCAACCAGCAACTGCGGCCCCACATAAAAGGGCACGGCTTGCTATTCCGGGGGTACCAGCTATATTTATAGCTGATGATCTGGCGTCTCTTTAAGCTCTATGAAAGAGCTTAGTTACCAGTTCCTCCCTGATCCCGCAAATATGTCTATTTATAATCTTCAAGATCACATTCAGAGGAGCCACTCGACCATGTTGAAAATTCTGAGTTGATCAAACTTCTAAAATAGCAGACAACTGATAAAGCCTTCTGCCACAATTGTTGTTTGTCATCTACTTTTAGCAGCGGCATTCTTTTGCTCTTCTGACTTTGCAGCACAAATTAAATTTACACAAGAAATGAATGTCATCCTCATCTCTATGTTTCTCCCTCGCTTCTCACTCAGTTTTGGAGTCTTCATACCAATCCAAAGGGAGAGGCCCTTCTGGGCGGCATCATCACCACTCTACTCCCCTCCTCAACCGTTCCCAAAAGATCACCCCTTCATTCCAGCCCCAGCAGCAGCAACCTTTAGGCTTTGGGCAGGTGAGAACTTGTAGCAGTCACACCCTCGTGCTTGCATGCCACTAAGTGAGTTGTCGGACTGCAATGGAGATTTCCCGGAATAAGGAGGGGTGAATTGAATGATCTTATTCTAAGATGAAACAAATATGATCTCAATCAGTGCTTCTCCAAGTGTGGTACGAGTACAATTGAGTACTTGAAAGAATCACGCAATTAAATACAATTAAAATGTATAACATTTAAAACATGAAATAAAATCAAGCATAAGTACAGTACAACACATTAGCATTTTTGTTTTTCCACATTTGAGTACATTTTTTATAACTTGCTTTGCAGTGACCTTTAACTAAATCACTATATAAGTACATTTTTTTTCTTTTCCATATTTACACGCAGTGCTAATGTCCAACCCTGGCCTAAAAAGTTTGATAACCATTGCTACAATGTAGATATTGTTTCCCCAATATGCAAATTGGCCATATTTATTCCTTTCCGACAGCTTTGCATTGGATTTCAAAAGTTGAAATGAAAAGCCTGGGAAACATCACCATCTAGTGGCAAACACATGTATGATATTTGTTGTTGAAAACTGATTTGTATCTCCTCCAGGTCCAGCATTTCACTTCCTGCCACCAGGAATGGAACGGCAATTTTGCCCCCCGCAGACCGCAGGCCTTCATCCCCCCTACCATACATGGGCCCGCATTCACCCTGTCCCACGGCAGTCCGAACCACTCTGCAGGCCATCCCCACCTTGGAGGGCACCCGCACTCCCAACCCACCTTGTTGTCCTATCCCCCGTCTGGTCCTCTGGTCACGGCCGCGCCGGTGGCCCACCTCTTGGCCTCCCCCGGGGCCTCGCGTCCCGTCCTTCAGCCCGCTTACAGCATCTCTCACCCAGCAGGCATCGTGCATCAGGTCACAGTGGGCATCAATCCGCGGCTTTTGCCCTCCCCCACTTTGCATCCCCAAGGTCAATTCAAGCCCCTCTTCCCCCCGCATTCCTACATTGCCTCGCCGGCCTACGCCGGTTTTCCACTCAGCCCCACCAAAATAAACCAATACCCCTACATCTGAGCATGAGTACCCAGGTACTCTTCTCACTACCCGAGGGCTAAACGCACGGGGCGAATTCTGTCTTAAACCACAAGCAACATGGTTTTTCATTTCGAAAAACCATGGCACAACCACAGAGAAAGCAAGCTATTTTTTGAATCATGTCGACTTGGGTGTAATTGAACTACAAGCTTTAACAGGAAAAGGAAGAAAAAAAAAGAACGATGTTGGAGATTATTTGGGCAAAAAAAATCTGAAGGAAATAATGTATGAATGATTGAATGAATGAGTAGTTAAACTCACACTTAATGTGTTTTGCACATTTGATATACCTTTGCATTGGATCTTCTACGAATACTCCTCAAAACAGGTAAATAATTGGGGTGGTGTTGAATAGTTTGACGTTGCACCCCCGATCCCAGCTATTTTTCTATATTGCCTTCTTACATGAGCAAGACACACCCACATTTGTAAAGCCATCCCAGTCTCTAGCTCTAGATTGCCAGATGTCGTCTACGGTGTTTGTTGTACCGCGTTCCGAGTATTTGTACTTTTTCAGTGTCTTTCGGTGTTTGCAATGTCAAAAGTCCATTGCGCGATTTTAAATCGGGTCGTTCCTCACGCTGCATGTGGTCTTGCATGAGCAAAAGTGTAAACTGAACGATCCATAGACGTGGCTCTTATCATTTTGTGTGACAAGACTCGCTGCATTGTATAACTGTCCCCAGCCATAGTGCCTTACATATTGTTCATGTTACTACTTATATATGACTATATACAAGACTATTAATGTACTGGACTGCAGCACTTGAAATTCCAATCGCTTGATGCATCCTAAGTGTGTGTGTGTGTGTGTGTGTAGGTGCGTGCGTGTGCGTGTGTGTGTGAGAGAGTGAATATACATATACAGTGGTACCTCTACTTACGACCATCTCTTCATACGAAATTTTCAAGTCACGAAACGTCTCAACAGGAAAATATTGCCTCTTGTTACGAAAGAATTTTCAAGATACGAAAGGTAAAAATACAGTATAGGCTGCTACTCGCAGCTCAGAGTTTCCTGAGCGCAACATCCTGATGGCTGCTCTGCAATTGGCTATTACCAAGCATCATCCTGTCATCCCATTGGCTGACAGAGACCACGAAAGAATGTGTCTATGCGTATAGATAGATAGATAGATATGTGTCTATGCAGCGTCCTCGTTATTCGCCCCTCGAGCCATGAGGTGTTCCGATAGTTTTACGTAAATGCGAATCACCCAGAAAAAGTGTTCACCATTCGGGCAATCGCTCACTATGCTGATGTTTGCCTTGGACATCTTCAAAGGATTGTTAAAAGCCGACAAGCTTTTTACATTATGCTCAACTCTCATTTATTGTGCAATAATGTAATTGTAACATGCATTTGTTACATATTTTGATGCATTTTTAGGCTTCAGGAAACAATTATGTCTAAATTTTGGGGGGGGGGGTGGAACGAATTAGGGCATTTACATGGAAAACGCGTCTCTACCTACATTTTCTAGTGAAGAATTTTCTTGCAGAACCAATTAATTTTGCAAGTAGCGGTACCTGTGTGTGTGTGTGTGTGTGTGTGTGTGTGTGTGTGTGTGTGTGTGTGTGTGTGTGCGTGCGTGCGTGTGTGCGTGTATATATATATATATATATATATATATGCACATAGTCTGCATGGATGTGATGGATCGCAGATGGCGGTGCTTACACTTTGGAGTCGGTGTATATTTCAGCGTGTCGTAAGTTCCTTTTCCGTTCATGCAAGCAGAACAGCATACTTTGCTGCTGCGGATGCTTTGCTGTTTGATTAAGGAGAAAAAAGCAACTTTTATTTCTCTGAATGAACTAGTGTACAAGTGCAAGTACTGAGTATTGCTTCATATTTGATAATCACTTTCTATTTAGTGAAACTCTGATTACTAACAGTATTTGTACTGTTTGACGAAACTGCAATACAATCTCAATAGTCGCCTTTCCCCTCCCCACCCGTCTTGGTATCTTCATTTGGACTGTTTTCACTTGGTTTCTTTGGTGTTTTGACATGCGTGGGCATGGCTTTGACTAGGTAAGGAAAACAATGCAAATTAATATGAATTCACGGTATGGATTTTTCTAAGCCTGAGCAAAACCATGCAGTATTCGATATACACACATATATGGACGTATATTGTAGAGCTAGAGTATTTAGTACCAATGCTTGATGAGGTGTGAGTTAATTGTGTGCAATTCTCTCATTTATGCATGTGTGACAAAGTTAACTTGTCCCTTACATTTGTTGATGGCTAAAGGCTTCTCAGTGTCGACTGCTTCTTTTAAACATTCCGTCAGGGAGGATATATGTATACATATATAAATATATACGGTGGGAGCAGGTGTCAGCAGTCTACATAGCATATATCTATATATGTAGATCTGTGTTTGTGTGTGTGTGTGTGTGTGTATTTTCTGTTCATTTTCGGAGTTAGTTGTGTATAATTTTGTCTTTAATTTTAAATGAAGTTGCTTGGCAGCACCAAAGACTGTAATTCATTTCCCGAGCAAGGTAGCTACTCTTTGCATCAACCTCACTTAGAACGTAGTCGTAGAATCGGGGTGGATGAATTAAAAACAAAACAAACATGTACTTCAACGCGGCCGAGGTTTTGTCTAGCTTATTGGGCAATTAATAAGTCGGATCATTTCTTTCTTTCTTGAATGTATCATAGATAAGCTGCTAAATGATGATTGCCACTTCGATAGCTGTGAAATTAGGTGATTTCTCCTGAGTTTGAACCGAGCGTTGTGATTTTGTGTGTGTGCGTGCGTGCGTGCATGTAGGTCCCTAATTACCTAAAATTGGAGTGGTTTTGATTATTTTTTTTTCCGTGTTCCTATTTGGAGTGTCATTGTAACTACTGTATTGCTGATAATGAACACTAGTTGCATTTGTCGTTTCTCGAGGTGTGCGCGCGTGTTTATGCATCAGTATTTGATCCTTTTTTTCAACCTATCCTTTGGGCTCATCCTAGCATATAAACGACGTATCGACGTAGAACTTAATTTTTGTATGTTTTCATATTGATGTTTCGTACACATTTAGAAACCGTAGCTTGCAGTATCAATTTAACTTGTACATCAAGAATATTCTACCAGTGCAGGAGCACTGTGATAGGACATCTTAAGAACATCATTGTGCATGTTAAACTCACTTAGACTCACCACAAAGGAAGACGGATTAGACGACGTGCCCAAAAATGAATGAATTTCATCCCTCCAAAAATGTTTGAACTGATTGAACCTAGTATTTATTGTTAGAATGTTTTTATCTGTTCAATGTTATAAAAATATCAGCTTTGCCTTGCGTTCTAATCGCTGCCCCCACCCCCACGCTCTTCTCAATGTTTTTAATTGGAAAGCTGCCATTGTCGTGTGGTCTTACTGAAACTGAAGCAGTGCGAGCAGCACTGTCTCTTTGTGCCTTGAGATTCAGAACATTCGAGATGCATATTGGAGGAGGAACTTAGGGCGAGAGTCCATTAACCCTGCGAAAACGATATGAGGACAAGTCTTGGGACACTGGCAGAAGGTGAAAATTGCAGAAAAGAATGCTTTTGCCCATCCCCTTTGCCTGGCTCACAATTAATCGTTTACATCGAGATCGTACAAAACGGCCTCGTCAGAGCAGTGACTAACATAGTCGCTCCATTTTATTTATTGAGCACTAAAAAAAAAAAAAAACAATTACAGATTAAAGGGTCAAGTCTCATTGCTGTGCTTTATGCCAAGGAATAAAAATGGGTTTTAAGACTTGTTTTTAAAAAACGGACAGCGAAGGGACCTATCTAATGTCCACCGGGAGGTCATTCTGTCTTTCGGTACCGGCGACGGTGGGGGGGGAATCTCATCTGTGAGATTGGAAAACATTGAATCTTAAAATGAACTCTAAAGTGCGCAACAGCCAGTGGTGCGAAAAACATAGAATCTTAAAATGAACTCTAAAGTGCGCAACAGCCAGTGGTGCGAAACTGGAGTGAGAGTCCTTTGTTCTCCGTCTTATGTGCTCCAGTTAGGAGGTTAGTGGGAAGTGTTTTGAAGCAACTGGAGACATTTGTGAGAGGGCTTGCCGACTCCAAAGTAAATTGCGTCACGGGCATCTTGAGGTGTGATGACGGCATTGATTACTGTTTCAAAGCACTGTCGTACAAGAAAAATGCTTCACCTTTGCCAGCTGCCCGAGGTGGGAAAAAAAGCGCACATTAGCTGAGGCTGTTTAAAATGAATGCAATTTTTCAAATGGTAATTTATTTTTAGAATGAGGAAAATTAATACATTTGCTTTCACACGGTGATGCGGCATCCCCTCAGTTCGATAATCTGATGAGTGATCACATCAGTCCAGGCAAGGCCACTTGGGTCGCCCCTTTTTCATGTCACAACAGCAGCTTGGCAAAAGGAGGCTTTCGCAAGCGGCGTAAAAGAGTTGAGTGTTTGATGAGGTTCTAGTCAGGCCTCTGGAATTCTTCCAAAGTCAGTCATTCCTTCATCAAGTCATTGCTTCATGCGCCGTTAACAGAAAAGAGCCACATCTGTTCCCACTGTAATGAAAGAATAGAGCTGTCTTGCTAAAATGAGGAATTAAGAATCTGCGGGAACTAAGGGATATTATCCAACTCTAATTGATGACTCACGGTCAAGATGCGTGTCCCAAGACTTTTGCGCGTATAGATGACTGTTCTGATCAGTTTATAGAAACATGAGAGGATGGCGCCGAGTGGTGGATTGTACCAATAATACACTTAAACTTCATCAACATCATCATGGCGTCACCCATTTTTGGATTGTCACTGGCTTGAAACAGCGAGATGCAATACTTTCAACATTTTTGCCGTCATTGCACCACACAAGTGTTCTTAGATGAGCTGTTTATTGACATGAGCTTGCATGTGTGTCACTTTGTTTTCGTCGAGCACATCCGGTAACACTGGCTTTGGGGAATCATGGAACTTCTCTTCTTGCATGTTGATTTTTTTTTCTCCACTCTTCGTTGTTGAATTAAGGAGATTATTCTTGCGGATTTACGGCGCGCTAATAGGCGCGATACGTTTTCGACACTGATATGGTTGTATGCTTTTTTTTTTTTTTTTTGCTTTCTGACGGATCATGACGGTGTTTAATTTTGGACACGAAAGCTTTCGGCGACAAGGCATGCACTTGGCGGATGATTACTGCTTAAAAGTTTGCCAAGAATGCGCATGGGGAAATGTCATCTTGTGTTGTGGTTCCTCCCAAAGTATTCACCAGCAATGCGACGCACGAGGAGATGAAACCTATTGTTTGGGATTTGACCCCTCACCATGCTTTACAGAAATGTGTGTTTTCTTTTGGAGAATCCGTGTAACATTTAACAGATAAAACAGTTTGTAAACTATTGTAGTTTTGAGTTGATGACAAACAAAAAATCTTCTGCTGCGATTTTATCCTTTAGAGCTGTTAATTCAGGTTCGGTATTAGTCTCAATGTGCTACTGTGTTCCCGTTTTGATTTGTTTTGCTCGATTTTGTTTTTGCTTGTGTTCATCCCTTTCTGCAGAGTTAATTCATGCTGCAAGTTATGGAATTATCTGTCTAGATGGTTCATCAAATACACTTGATTATGAAATCTGAGCTATTACTGTTTAAAAAAACCCTGTAGATGATTGTGTGGCTTTGATGGTTTTTTTCATTTGTTTTATTTGCTTTATTTTTTATTTGTCTGTGCTACACTAGTTTGCCATGTAGCAATTGCACTGTGCAATATTTACAGTATGAGAACTGGGAAACTAATATGGATGTGATGTCTCTTTACAGTTTGCGTTAGTGTTTCCTCTCTAGTTCTCAGTGATTTTAGGTGTGACCAAGCCTTCTCTACTTAGTCACATTAAGCGGGTTTTCCAGGTGACTCTTTTGGTGAGTGTCGAAGTAAGACTTATAAATGGTGTATTATTGTTAAGATTCACTTTGAATTAAAAAAAAAATCTATTGACACGGTGTTGGGGAATTTCTGCTTGTTTATTCATTTTGGTCTGAGTGGTCAGTGGATGACTGAATCCTTTTTTCAGTGACTCAGAATTTGTTTCAGTTATTGTCTGTAAAACAACCCAAATTCCAAATGAAATTCGAATGTTGTTAAACATCAATAAAAATGCAATAGTGATTTGCAAATGATGTTCAAGATATATTTAATTGAATATACTGTCCAAACTGATAAACTTAGTTTTCAGCAAATATTTTTGTAAATTAACCTAATAGAAACCTTAACATGACAGCGAGTTTAACCCGACACCCCCCCCCATTGTACTTTGCAAAGTAATACACAATGGTGACATGGCACATTGCCATGAGTTGCCGCAAGGTGGAAGCAAAGGACTACTTTTATGATGCTCTACAACTCACTTGCAGCACCAAGATTCCACCAGATGGTGACAGAGCAATACTGCCTGAAAACAGCAAATAGGTGATTTTTTCCAGCGAATAATGGAGGATACGTTCACAGGGGGAATTAAAAACGCCGAATTGCGAATGTATGTGGGTTCACTGTATATGTGTACTTCTTCAGTTGCCTCCAATAGTATTTGAGTGGCAAAGTCAATATTTGGGTTTCAGAACAAAAGTTGAATATGAGACAGAAATTCATAAGCCCGACTTTTTTTTTCATGGCACTCACATCAACACTTCGCACATTTTTTTGAAGCCACCCACTTGCAAGTGCAAAAGTTTTGGAACGTGTGACTGGTGGGTGTTTCAAGTTGCTTAGGTGTTGTCTTTTAAATTGATTGCTTACACATTCGATAGTGTTTGTTTTTGGAATTTGGGTTTCACCTGTCAAAATGAATTCGCTATTAAGCAAACATAAAGGCCAGTTACCTGTCTATGGGATGAAAGCAAACCATTTGGAAGCTCAGAGAAGAGGGAAAATCAATCAGAGCTATTGCACAAACATTGGGCCTAGCCAATGCAACAATTTGGAATGTCCTGAAAAAGAAAGAACCTACTGGTGTACCGAGTAACGGACAACAGACGGGTCGGTCAAACGTATACAACAAATACAACCTGGCCGTTCTAATACTTTTGGAGGGGAATGTATCCGTGCCAGCAATGTATCGTGAGTGAGAGGCAAAACAATTGAATACTCCTCCATATTTGTTGTAAACATTTTTGAACCAGCGCTTTGTCATTCCCCTCACCTGAAGATCTCTTATTCAGCACAGTGATTGGGAGTTGGCCTAAAATGAACCTGTCACGTTATTGTTTTGAAGTGCAGACGAGTACGCTTGATGACGGTGGCGAAATACTGCAGTCACAACCATCCTGCTTTTATTGCCTAGTGCTGTGCTGACCCCGTGTGGACAAAAGAAGGTACAACGGCCAAATGACGTTCCAGAGAATTTAAAGACGAGTAGCTTAACCTGTTTGTATAACCGGTTGTACGCGATCTTTTTTTTTTCTTCTCAATAGTCAACCATCTAGCTAAATATTTCATACATTGGACACCGGGAGCTGCAGCACAATTCGAACCTTTTGGCAGTGTGTGCGCGCTCCCTGCACCACACGCTGATGGTGATGATGATGATGATGATGATGATGATGATGATGATGATGGGTGGACCGAGCGGAGGTGGACCGGTAGGGCTCATTTCCTCATCTGGCTTCACCGCAGCGTCAGGCACCCCGAAGCCCTTGCACCCTGCACCCCCCTCCTTCCTCCCTGCAACCCTGGCCGCAAGACCGGATCACAAGCCCGCAGAAGCCTGATCCAATGTATTATTTACGCGCCAAACTTCAGCAACTCATCCACCGGATATGGCTGCCGGTCTGAGGAAGCGTGCGCCGGGGGCAGCCTGGGCAGCAGACCCTGCACCGGCGAGGGATGCCGGAGGAGGAGGAGGAGGAGGAGATGAGGGGAGGCGTGCAAGAAGAAGGAGCAGGTGGAGGAGCGGAGCGGTGGGAATGCCTGCAAAGTGTGCGCTGTCGGCTGGGATGTTTTTTGTCCTGCTCCGGTGTTCTTTGGCCGCAGAGGGTAAGACACACACACACACACACACACACACACACACACACACACACACACACACACACACACACACACACACAACATGCAGATGGATGCATCATCACCATGCGTCTCCAGCTGTCTCCCTCCGCCGTGAGTGAGTGTTGTGTTTCACACGGCATTGTTGTGCACACTATTTGCTGCAGGCTGTACGACCCACTGGATGAATCTGGGCTCACCTGAATAGCTGGAATATAACACGCTGCATGTCCATTGTTAATAAACTGTGTCACTTTATCAGGACACCTTATGAGATCCAATACTGGAGAATTCTGCATGTTTAACATAGTATTTATTGTTGATTGTAGAGGTGCCCTTCATCATACACTGGGAAAAAAAAGATCCTTTGGATTTACTTAATTTGAATAAACTAGGTGTATTAGTTTTAATTATGTGAAACCGAAAGTCTTTTTTTCCCCCTCTGGACTGAGAGATTGGGACTAGTCACTTATGTTTCACTTCTCTAACCAAGATATTAGAAACCACTCTGTGTGATGCAATGCAGCAGTCAAATATTTGAGAGCTGTTTCTCATTTTTTGGGTAATGACCATTATCTAGCAAGAAGTAGAGAGTCTTTTTCAGATTATCTCAAGACCAGACAATATGGATGACATAAAATAATGAGCAAATGCATCCATCCATCCATTTTCAAAACTGCTTGTTCTCATTATGGTGATGAGTGAGCTGACGGCTATTTTAGTTTAATCTCTGGCAAGAGGCATGTGCACTGTGATTGACTGCTTGCCAGTCAATCACAGTACACATGTGACAGTGGTGCCTTATTGTACGAGTTTAATTAATTACATGGTCACATTCGTATCTGAACACTTGCATCTGAAATAATATTAACACATTGAGATGAATGGAAATGCTATTAATCTGTTCCAGCCTCCCATTTAAAATGTGTGATGTATTTTCATCAGGGAAAAAATAGAACTCCATAATATTGTACTTTATACAAGTATGAAGTAAAAGCATAATTTAACATAATGTAAGAAATTAAACAGTTATACTTCATAATCTAATGCTGTAATACAATTAATTGTGCTGTTTCTTAACTGTGCACCCACTTTGGCCACCAGGAGGCAGTATAATATGCAGACATAGAAAGGGGAATAGCATTTCTATTACTACTCTGACTCTGTAAGATGCTGTAATAGTTTTTGTAGAGGATAAATAATATATGTCTGTGAATATTACAATACAATCTATCACAATGTGTTTTTCATCCATCCATCCATCCATTAATTGATTCATTTTCGAATCCGCTTATCCTCACCTGAGTCACCGGCATGTTGGAGCCTATTCCAGCTGTCTTGGGGCAGTAGTCGGGGGACACCCTGAACTGTTTGCCAGCCAATCGCAGGGCATACATAGATGAACAACCATTTTAGAGTGTTCCATTAACCTGCCATGCATGTTTTTGGAATGTGGGAGGAAATCGCCGTTTGTAGGTTGTCTGGCTCACAGACCACACTGATGTAAACGGTTTCGAATGGTCTGATGTGACATTTGGGTGCCTCTCACTTCCCTTAAATATGTCTGGAGATGCGTGGCATTCATCATCCGGTTTCTCAGGGCATTGTTAACAATGTAGCGGTCATTAGCATGGGATGTAGCCAAAGGATGTCCGCTTCCTACATCTTTCTGTGACTCTTCCATTCTCTCATTATCTCAGTTCCAACCTGCTGATGACACTCTCTGACACGCTAAGCTAAGTGGCCACTTCTGTCTGATAACATTCTGTTTAAAGCATCACAATGGCAACGTACTGATCATCCATTGTTAGGTGTCGTCTTGGTCTCATGATGTCAAAATGTGAAGAGCGTGATGAGAACGACTGTTTAAACACCAGCTTTAATTGAACCAGGACATTTATTGGTGGATTCAAGGATCAAATGCCTGTTGTCAATTTTGCCGTTAAGGTCCTCGTTGGATAACGGCAACTTGTGCAAACAGTCCTGAAACATTTAACAGTTGAACATGGGCATTCAAAAGCTGAGAAAAGGTTACATTAAGTTCACCTCTAAAGGTTTTAATGCATTTTAGGTGCGTCTTGATATTTCACCTGAAAGTCACATATCCTTAACTTTTTGTGAATAGTGTATTAGAGCCACCAACTGATAATGTGCTTCCACTGCACGGAAACCAATATGAATGGATGGTGCTCTTGTCACACAAACTATTTCCTCAGCCCACAAATTACAACTGCTTAAAAATCCTCTTTGTCCTTTAAAAAAAAAAAAAAAAAACCAAAAACCTGACATTAACCATGAGCATTGTCTGTAATAAGTTGAAGGGAGTTATTCTGGGAATGCAAGGCAGTGCAGTCGCACGCTTTTCAGAGCATCTGGGTCAGCACTAATGACACACATAATGTTGCCAAGTGTAGGTTTATCTCTGGGGTCAAGGTTGCCTGTAAAAACGAAGCTTGCTCACTGATTAAGCTGCATATTGTTTTCATTCTCATATGACTTTGACACAACACGCGACATTTGCCCCAACCAAACAAAACGAGTGCATATAAGCCAGTTGTGGAGGGGCACATATTTAATATGACTCGATGTGCTGACTGTTAGGAAGGAGGCTCTGATGAGAGAAGCGGTGCTTCAGCAGTGATGACTTACCACCACATCACAACTGCACACACACTGCAATACTGTCATCTCGCATTAGAAACAATGTGCTGCAAAAATGTTCATTATACTGCACTGTTTTTCGGAATGACAGTTGCTGATAGTGTGCCCCCGCATATTGCCAGATTTGTGTGTGTGTGTGTGTGGGGGGGGGGGTGGCGGTTGGGTCTTTTCACAATTTTGTGGCATTTTGATGCCAATGAACTATAGTTGAGGAACTTCATATGGCTAAAAGCACGACTTTGCTACCATCTTGTGGCAACTTGGTACCAAGAACTATGTTATGGTGAATTTGAAGTGCTTCAATTCGACAAAAGTAGGACATTGTCACCATCTTCTTGCATCTTAATACCAATGAACTATGTTGACTTGAATTGAGTAGCTTCAGTTAGGCAAAAGTAGTGCTTTGCTGTCATCTTGTTGCCAAGGGACTGTATGAATTAAGTGGAGGCACTTAATTTCTACAAAAATTGGGTATTTGCCACCATCTTGTGGCATCTTGGTGTCAATAAACTATGTTGAAGTGAGGTTAACTTTAACCCTTTCATGCACCAATAATCATAATCTCTAACCTGATAAGATGATAGGCTGTCCACGGTAGTAACCGCTGTCCCTGAAAGGGTTAAAAGAAGCAGTTGACCCAGGAGCTGCGCATCCCTCCTCTTTTTGCTTCTTATTTTTCTGCCTCTGCCAGCGTGACTCCTTTCAAAGCCGTCACCAATGTTAAAACTATTTCCTGGAAGTCAGTTTACACAAACAACCACCGTGACTCACCGTCAATAACATGCGGCTGAACATTTCCCTCATTTTACCTCACTGCGGTGATTTAGGGCACAGCGGTTAATTAACTTGGGAGTAAGCTTAAGATGAATGTGCCTGATCCAGATCGATGTTTGCCTCCATAGATGCAGCTTGTGCTTCATTGCTAAATCAATACGCAAGCATGTTAAAAACAGCGACGCGCTGTTCAAAACGTCAGCGTTTCGATTCCGCTCACACTCCATCTGTCTGGAGTTCTTGCAGGCCAAGCGTTTTAGACCCGAAATTGAAAACGCTGGTGTCAAATAATTAAATATTTGTCGGTGCTGGAAATGATCTCCGAGAGGTTCTTTGTCATATCTTAATGAAGTTTAAAAAGGCAAGCTTGCCTGAGTGGAACACACACATGAAACGAAAAAGGCAAACATGCCTTCTAATTAGTACAGTGTACCATCTGCTCGGTATTATCCCCAGTATAGTTCAGTGCGATCAAGGGAATATTTGTTCTTTGTGTTATGAGCTACATCCATATTTCTCTCCAGCCTTATTCTGTGCATTTACGTGCTCGTGCGTGTAAATGGCAGACAAAGCTTTGGCTGTGGTGCTGCCTCACAAAAACCAGTGGTTCTGATTTATAGACATACCAAAAAACAAACAAACAAACTAACTAACGTTAGTCAACATTAGTTTGGTCCGCAATGAAAAGCTGAATAAAGTGAGGAAATATTAGAGCCAGGCCAATTTAGATTTTTTTTAGATCTATTCTGATTCTGATAATTGGTTAAAAAAATAATAATAATAAAAAGCCAATATCCAATTAATTGGCCGAATAAAAACTAAAACCCAAAGAATAAAGTAAGTTTTGTTTTGATCGCTTAACACTTACAATAATAAAGTTATGAATTACAGGCAGATCATTTGACTGTTTTATAATAATTTGTCCTGTAGTATTTGTTTAACATTACAAGTTAAAGGACCATCAACAAAAATTTGATTTTTTATTTTTATTTTTTGGCAGATGTTTTTTTTTGGGGGGGGGGGGGTTGTATGTATTAGTGTAAAAAAAAATGGCCGTTTTTTGGGGACTATTTAAAAAAAAAAAGCTAATATTCACCAATCAAATCAGCCAGTCAGTTAATCAGCCAAGCCCTCCAAAATATTATCTTTTGCCCTGTAAGCCTTTATCGCGAAAGGAACCATAATACTGTAGCTAACTAATGAACCCTGCATGAATCATGTTCAGGCAGGAGAATGACATTTTTTCTTCTCAGTCAATCAGCAAAGAAATGAAAAGAAATATGTATCCACTCATTTTCTACACAGTTTATAGGGGGTCATGGTGTTGGTGCAGCTTTTCTCAGCTGACCTTGGGCTCGAGTTGGGATATATTCTGGGCTGGTTGCCAGTCAATCACATATCACATACAAACGACGGTTCACACTCATATTCACAACTCTGGATAATTTAGAGTCAATTCAATTTACCTTAAAAAGCATATTTTTTGAATGTTGGAGGAGCCTGAACTACCCAAAGCAAACCAACACAAGCATAGGAATCAAAAATCTAAACCA